ATACTACATTTAAGCAGGAGCTTACAAACCTTGGCAACTTGATTGCCTTGACACTGAGAAAAGTTTAGCTCAATAGGAATGCACAGATTCTAAAATCAAGACGCTGAAGGACGGCCGTTGAGCAGGGCTGAAGTACAGGAAGGAACTCACCCTGTGGAACACCACTGATGAGACACACCCCTCCCATATTGTAAGAGCTCATCTCTCATAGACTAAGATGTAACAAATGGGTAAAAAAAAAAACCACTGTGGATTTTAAAAGGATAGCGCTAATTCCTACATATGTGCAATTCAGTCACAGTTATAGAGATAAAAATGTTTTTACAAAATGTAAAAACATTTTACATTTTACAAAATGTAAAAACATTTTACATTTTACAAAAATGTAAAAACCCCACAGCACTACATATTAGCTGATGCTCACATCACTGAAAAATGGATGGATGGTTTAATGTTGGAAAGCCAGTATAAGACAGTTCTTAAAACACATCACTGACCAAAATGTAGCCAGTACACAAAAGAACTGATTTAGTCTTCAAAGTTACAAAGTATTTATACAGCACACCTTCAAGAGACCAGCAACTGAGTGCAGGCACCAGTGGAGACCTGCGGTTCCCATTCTGCCAATTACAGTGCAAACTGCTAACACCTGCTTGCAAAACCATCTGACGAGACCTCCCAATGTCTAACCTACAATCTCCTATGAGCCCACCACTCCAACCCCAGTGTGCACTCACTAAAAATGAATGCACATTTCATTTTTAAAAGAAGAAGAAAAAGAAAATCTACCCAAACTGGCACTATTCAACAGTTCCAGACTAGACAGCCCAAAAATTCTATAAGAAAACAGATTTAACTGTACACAATGGCGTGTAACTATGAGAATAACTTCCGGTATCTGCAGAAGCATGGAGGGATCCCACAAACATACATTAATCAGAGGAAGAAAAGAATAAAAAAGGGAGGAGGACGGAGGGAGAGAGGGAGGGACAGAGGAAGAGAAAGAAAGAGAGAGGAAGGAAGGAAGGAAGGAAGGAAGGCAGGCAGGCAGGCAGGCAGGCAGGCAGGCTAAAATCTAAAATCCCGCTCAAAAGAACAGGTGGCTGAAAACAAGGTGCTACTAAATGGGCATCCTAAGGCAGAATACTGGTTCCTCTGAGGAACAGGGAGTGTCAGAGACTGAGAGAGGACCATGACATCTGACTTCCGAGGAGCCAGTGTTCCTTCCTGACCTGGGATGGACACACTCATGGCGAGGAAGCTACAAGGGTCACTACAGAAACTGCTCCTTTTTGGCTTATGATAGACAATTATTAAATTTTCAAAAACTTTTAAGTCAGTTGTTAACACATTTAATACTAAAAATCAAACCTTTGCATGCTGGAAATACATCTTTACATAAAGTAATGTTCCGCACAGCCTGTCTCAAAAGATAAGGTGAAGAATGACAGAGACACCTGCTGTCAATCTCTGAGCTCCATACATGCATGCATTGGTATAAACGTGCATAGGCACACACACCTAGACACACACACATGTGTATATATATGCATACATCATACACATACATGCACGCATACACATATGTCATTTCTGTTGTTTTACATTATAAAAACACAAAAAGTGAATATTCTTCCAATATTTGAAAATTATCCTTTGTCAATGTCACACAAGTCGTGGGCAAATTAGTAAAATTCCACGGCTTTGCTACTGTCTTACTAATGAAAACAATTATCAACCAGCATTCACATCTACAGTGCATTCCTCCATCAGTGCAATCACAGGCCAAACAGAGGAGAGTGGGCCCGAACTGCCGAAAGCATTCTATGAAGTCTGTAAGGAGCATTGGAGAATTGTTATTTCGAAATTATGAGCATGCCTTATGTTGATATGCAAATCTGCACATGTGCATGAATTATATGTGAACATATATTTTCCGGAAAAGGGATTCTTAAGCACACATCAGTATCCCATGTGAGATTATCATTCGTAATATAACTCCATTATGATTTATGCACTCTCTTAAGTCACTGCTCCTCTGTGCAGCCACCAATCAGCAGAATATTCCCAATCGGCAGAATATCCCAGTCCTCTTTCCCACACCTCTTCATTCCTGCGCTGGGCTAACTATGAGAAGGAGAGCATTCACCCTGGCCGTTTGCTACGAAGAATGAGACAAAGCACTCAGGCTGGAGAACTGAGCAGTGAGTTCAGGGAGCAGAACTTGCCCTCTAGAATCACATGTAGCCAGAATAAAGGGGTCATGCAGAAACTGCTCATTAACCACAAATTAGTTAAGCCAACACGGCTAATCTAACATATTTGAGAATCGTGGTTTTCTGACTTAAAACTTATTTTTATTATAATATAAAACCATTCCTCTACTCCCTCATATTTACTTTCAGTATATCCTCTCTATTTTTTTAAAAAAGCAATTATTATTTCTACATAAACCTCTAGTTCTCGAGTATGGTTAGTTAGCTCTTGGAGACCAGTGTTCCTCTGTCTCATGACTAACGCTACACATCCTTTCAAACAGAATTTAGGTGAGAGCAGGGCAGCTTATGTTTCTCAGCACACTTCTGTACTGACTCTATGCTTAAATGGCAAAACAGTAAATTCCATTTTTCATGGGCTATAGTCTGAACATATGGCTTCCTCCCAACATCACATCAAAAGCCAGGCCCAGGTATACTGGCATTAAGAGGTGGGGCTTTGTAGATGCCTTCACCAGACACTGCCTGAGGTTCCACTGTCTAGAAAATGACCTGGTGTTTGGGACGGCATCCCAAACAGACTGACACCTGGTGCATTCAAATAATGCCAACAGCATGGCTTAGCTGTTCCTGCCATTCCTGTCAGCAATGGGAAATAGCCAGATGTCAGGGGTCCTTTTTTGTAAGACAAAGTCTCACTATGAAGCCCGATGGCACCAAACTCGTGACTATCCTGTCTCAGCCTCCTGAGTGTTGGCATTATAACAGGTACACTTTATTAGTTTATATTTATGGCTAACACAAAACGCATACCTAGTAAAAGTGTACTAAATAAAGTAAGGTACACACTGCCATTCAGACCCACGACCTTCAGGATTAAAAAGAAACACAGCCTCAACAGCAAATTATTATGCAAAATGATTGGTGCTTGCTGTAAAACCAGCATTTTAAACTCAGACCCAGTCTGAAGCCTATCAGAGGCTTTAAAAGAGATGGGGGTCGGGGGAAAGGATGCAGTCTCTCACAAATTTTACCAGAATTTTTTTATAAAGTGTTTTCTTATGACAGAAAAATTAATTGAAAAATTTAAAAATAAGGAAGACTTTGACACTGTTCACATCGTGATTCAGAGCTGGGGTGCACAGTCCCGAGCCTCTGCAGCCCAGTCCCACAGCTTCAGACTGAGCAGGAGGTGGGGTATACTCAGACAGGATCGCAGAAACCAGCACAGGCTGCAGTGCATCAGAGGTAACAACGAAGTCCACGCACTCAGGGAGAGCACCGTTTCTACTGCTGCTATGTGCTGCCCCGTCACTCAGTCCTACACACGAAGCCAAAAGGCAAATACACTAGGAACCCTTGCCAAGCCTTTACTACAAATTCCTTTACCTGCTGAGCCATTTCCTAGGCCCAAAATAAATTTCTCTTATCCTCATTTTTTATATTATATCAATGAAGCTAAGTGTCTGGAATATAAAAGGCTTTCAGAATTCTATACACAAAGTAATAAATCTACTAGATTATGAGAACACACAAGCACATGTTTATAAATAATTTTGTTTTATTTTTGTGGCAGGGCCTCAAGTTACTATGTAGACCTGACTGGCCTTGAATTCACAGAGATCTGCCTGCCTCTGCCTCCCTAGTGCCTGACCAGAGGTGAATGCCACCACACTGAGCCTAAAACTGGGATCTTAATGGAGAGATAGGTAGGAACCAACAAAAAGCAGATACACTCTGGGCCCTTCACCTGCTCATTACAAGTTCTTTAAACAGCTTTGTCATAAGATACCTCATCGGGCCATAAGACCAGACTACTTGCCAAAGAGGAGCGCCTATAACTGAATGCTTATACACTTACTTAACTAAATATTTTCAAGATAATTACTACCTTTATTATAGGCATACAGTCTGATTTTTCTGAACTACTTTATTTCTTTTTTTTTCAAGCATGTTGCAATACACCAACCAAATGTTTTCCAAAGGAGTCTAAATACCCTCGTGACCCTCCCATCACCACTGTCGTCTCTGCTAAAGCTTGCATGGCGTGGCAATCGGCTCAGAGACAACTACGAGCTAGCCTGACACGTTAGAATTTGTCTCTTTAACGGTAGTTCCTTTTACTTTGGCGGAGACTCGGCGTCTCTCTTCCACCTCCTCACCAACCACAGAAATGAGGAAGGCTAGCGCTCCAGGGATAGGCTGAGTATTTAGCATGGCAGGGGCAGGGTAAGACTGAGACAGTTACTCAGAAACGCTGCAGATGAAAAGCCATAAACGTCCGGAGGAACAGGGTGGACGTCTGATAACTGTGGCTTGGTCGCCATGTTCTCACGTTTACAACTCGAGATTTATTCAGCTGTGGGTTTCTTTATTCAAATCCCATCCAGACTTTAATGGTGAGTGGGGTAGGGGAAGGGAAGGTCTTCAGATGCCACCCCTTTCCCTGAGAGAACTGGAGTGCCCTATTAGGTTGTTACTCTAAAAAGGGGAGTGGGCTGTCTCATGAATTATTCATGAGGGTGCCTAGAGCCTTCCAGTAACCCACAGTCAGGGTTACTCCTGCTGTTCCTTTCTATGGTGTAATGCTGCTGTACAAGGTCTAATTTACTAATGCATCTATACCCCTGTGTGTGTGTGTGTGTGTGTGTGTGTGTGTGTTTGGTGTACACTTACTACACCTGGCTTTCAGAATATAAAAAACCCTAAGGAACCCTGCAAACTCAATACCAGTTACAACATCCGCCAAAGCCTCTACTGAAAGCGCACGAATCGCAGCCTTACCTTGTCGTCTCTCCCTCGGGCTCTACAGTCCTTGTCCCTACTTGCAGGCTTGTCACTCTTGGATATTGGGTGTGCTCGGCCCATGAGTCCTCGGGCTCCGGCTCCCATGTCTTTCCTCAGAGGCCTCACTTCTCGGTTGGGACGTCTGATCTGAGGTGGAGCTCTGACAACAGAAAGACAGGAAAATAAGAACTAATCAGAGACAAGTAGTTCAAAGCCATCTTACTCAAGAAGTTGTCGCCGTTTTCCCTAATGTGTAATGATTTATACAAGATTAAATATAGGTGACAAATACGGGGCCATTACTCTGCCGAAAGTAACTATTAACCGCCAACAGCGGCAACACAGCCTGCATCCGCCTGTTAACACCACTGGAAAGGCCTCTTCATCCCCCATCAACTCCGGGAAGTGTGGAGCCCTATGAGCACCCCCTTCCATGATGAGGTACCACAGGGTCAACCTTGTGAAGATCTTGTGCAGGGATTCACAGATGCTATGAGTTCATGGAGACACGCCTTGCCTGGAAGTGAGCATTCCACAGTCCTCCCTTCCAGCTCTCGCATTCTTCCTACCCTTCGTCTGCAATGGACCCTGCAGGCTTGGGGTCTGAATTCACCTGCTCACCAGAGCTTCCTTCCTGGTATCATAGAGGCTAGCACAATAATAGCAAATTTGACAAGACAGGAAAATGGCTGAGGACCCATACACTCGGGGAAAACAGTGAAGTCTATGATGTTGCTGTGGTTTGATGTAAAATGACCTCCACGGGTTGCCGTCTCACTCGGTCTCTGGTTGGCGGTTCAGCTTTGGTAGGTTGTGGACCTTTAAGAAGTGAAGTGTGGCTGACGCAGTGGTTTGATGGGGTAGAGCCCAGCCCTGTGCCATCTCTCTTCTTGTTCAGCCAAACGAGCAACCTTGTACTTCTGCCTACCTCTCTCCCTCCCGCTGCCACGTTTTACTTTCATGACGAAGTGACATCACTGAGTCAAAATCAAGCCTTCCTCATCAGGATTCTGTCACAGCCGCAAGGAGAGCGGCCGCTACATACAGCATATTCACATTGCTGGGATCTGCTAGGACTGGGAACGGCTGCTAGAGCCTCACAGCTGTCTGTCGGGCTTATCGCACGCCCATCTTCATCCTCAGAGTGTGGTCCAGCTGAGCAGCCATTTTTGGACACAGCTAGTGACAACACTGGCCCCAGGAGAAGACAGAGAGAAGGAAACAATAGTGTGACAGGGGCCACGGGAAAGGAACTAGGGAAGAGAGGTCACTGCAAAATGACCAGTGGACACTTTGGAAACTGGTTTTATCACATTATTGGTTCTAGGGCGTTCTTAGTCATTGAAACGTTCATGAAATAAAAACATGAAGAGACAGTGAAGAGTGAGAACTAATAACGGTCAATTGCTGTCTAGAGTACACAGGTCTGGGGCCGCGGGTCAGTAGTAGAATGCTTGCCCAGCATGCACCAAGATCTGGGTCCACCATCTAGCACAGAAGATAAAAGCTCAAACCTTTTAGTCTGTCAGTGCAGTGCTTCTGCCGTTGTTGGGATAGGGCAGGTCTGTTTTACTTAGGTTTCTGTTTTGAGGAAGGGATAGTGGTTGAGCGCAGTTCTGCTTTATGGATTTGTGTGTTTGTGCATGCCAAAATGTCTTTCCTGCCGCAGTCAAGGGCACAGGCAGAGAAAATGAGTTGAGACTATCTCTCCGCTTAGCACACATCGAGTGTCTCCTGTTGCTGGCAGCTGTGCTTGCTATTTAAATGACTGTCGTCGTGGTCCAGCTTTTTAGACTCTACTCCAGCATGAGGCCTCTGCTCACCGTCCCCGAGGCTAGCCCTCACAGCTGTGCGCAGGCTCTCTGCAGCCGCCAGACTCGCCCATGAGGTCTGGCCATGAATCCTGAGACAGTCCTGACCCTCAACTTGCTACTCAGCAGCAGCTCTCGCCCTACCACAGTCGACTCTGTGCACACATCTGGCTTGGTGGCTATGTCATTGGATTCCTACTAAGCTGGCTCACAGGCTGCCTTCCAGGGCTGCCCCCGAGCTCGTCCTGCCGCGCACTATTCAGTCGGGCTCCCAGAGGGCCTGAATGAAGTGCTCAACAAGCTGGAGGTGGCCTTGGGGAAGGATGCATGTGCTCTCTGTCTTCAGTTCCGCCTCACTGCAGCTGGAGAGGACATGTGTAACCCACTCTGCCAGTGTCCCCGAGGACAGCCTTGACTCCGCTCTGGGCTTCTTTGTCCATTGCCGCACCACTGCACAATGTCATGCTTCACTGTGGGGCCCTGTGACAGCTTCTAGGCTGTGTGAGCAGCAAACTCATGAGGCTTCTTTGAAGAGTGGCGTCAGTGGGATGCACAGCACCGCTGCCCTCGGCCCTGCTGGTCAAACAGAGACTTACACTGTGCTCGCATACAGCTTTACAAATGCGGAGAGCAGCTAGCTAGTCATCAGAGCACAATGAATAAATACCAGCCGGCTATTCTGCCCTGGACTACCATTTAAGAGCGCCAGGAAGAGACAGATGTTCTAAAACACAATCTGGCAGCTCACCACTAACGGGACCTTCACTGTGAGACCCACTAAATACACATCAGCCAGGAGGAAAGTGAAGCAGAAAGATAAAGAGGGAACAGAGAGGTGTAAGCAGGGGTCTACACATTCCTTCAAGAAATGCTTCTGGAACACCTACACTGTGCCACACATTCTTCTTGGGGCTGGGGGTGCAGCACTGATCAAGTCCACGGCCCCAGTTCTTCAGGTCACATGATCTGGGGCCGTGAACAAGAAGCACGTGTGCAGTCTGGAAGCAGTAAGTACAAGTGGATAAAGTCTAAGGTTGGCCTCTCGGAGTCATGCAATAAAGACAGGTAAGGGTCAGTCACTGGAGTCAGGTGGAAGCTGCAAGCCTGGCCGCACGCCCCGCCGGGCCAGGCCGCTCTTCATATTCTCCACACAACTACTCGGCTTCATTCTCACAAGCACCACATGAGGCAACTGCCACACTGATTCAACTACCGAGGAGGAAAATGAGGCCAAAGCCGGCTACCTCCCTTGGGGCCACTGGGTGGCAGAGCTAAGAGGAAACACCCTCTCCCCAGAGCTGGCAGGTGGTCTGTGCAAAGGCAGTCGCCCTCCTAGAGCAGATGACGTTGCACGGCTAGGACCCACTCCTGCTTGTCAGCTCCCAAAGGGCACCAGTGCGGTCAAGGAGAACTGCATGGGGGGCACAGGATCTGGGGACTAGTGACGAACTAGGGAGAACGGCGGGGCCATGTAAAAGTCACAGACGCTAGAAGTGGGGAAAGAGTCCCAACAGAAATGGTAAGCAGTATCACAAAAGGGGAGGAGTGAGTCTAGAGGGAGCGGACGGCATTATCACACCTGTGGGCTGCTCATGGCAGTGAGTGCAGGGATGCGGGATTCCTAGTAACTAAGGAGAAGGGGAGAGGGTTACACTCTATAGCAGACAGCAGTTTGCCAGGAAAAGGACAGCAAGACAAAGATTTTTTAGCCCAAGTGTAAATGCGTTATGGTTTCGTTCTGACATGGCTATCTTGTCTTCACACCTCCATTTGTCTCTAAGAAAGTGCAGTGTCCACTTTCAGCTGCCTTTTCTAAAACACAGAAATACCAAGTTTAGGGGGCTGGAGCGATGGCTCAGTGAGTGGGTAAGAGAACTGCTGCTCTTGCAGAGGACCTGGGTTCAGTTCCCAGCACACGTGTGGCAGCTGGCAACCATCTGTCACACCAGTTCCAGGAGATCTGATGCCCTCTTCTGACCACCACAGGCAAGAGGCACGCATGTGGTACACAGACATACAAGTAGGCAAAGCGTTCACACACATAAAATAAATTGCAGTGATATTTCATTTGTATTTTAATAAGTAAGTTCAGAGAATAAAACAGTCGCACTGATCAGCCTTATAGACCAGGCAGTGGTGACACACACCTTTAATCCCACTAGCTACACTAGTTTACCATAGAAACTGGGTGGTAGTGATGCATGCCTTTAATCCCTGTACTAGAGAGGAATATAAACCGGGAGGAGACAGCTCTCACACACAGACTCAGTCTGAGATTGCTGGAGGCAGGATCACCATTTCAGACTGAGGTAGAGATAAGAGCCAGTGGCTGGCTGTTTTACTTTTCTGACCTTCAGATTAAACCCCCATATCTGTCTCTACAATAAATCTTAAAAATATATTTTAGGCAGTCACTGTGGTAAATACCTAGAATTCCAAAATTCAAAATTCAATTATTTTGTAGCAAGAGACAGATGTTTCCTACAGAACACTTATATATATAAGAGGAAAAATGAAACTCTAAAAATCAAGAAGAAAGCCCAACAGAATGCCCTCCCCCTTAGGACACCTGACCCCTCAGCTTCACACAGCCTTCCTCAGCGCTCCCTTCCTGTGAAGTGACCACAGTACCCGTGGGAGGGAACCCTTACTCCACACCTGGCAGCTCCTACCACTGAGCTTTCTGTCCCCACTGCTGCACCAGTGCCACTGCTCCCGAGACCTGAAGGACACTGGCCCCGCAGCAGTGCTTCTCAGCCAAGCATGTCCGTCTGCACAAGCAGGCCGCCCTCTGCCCTCTGCCCTCTGCCCTCTGCCACTAACTCCCGGAGACTCTAGGGCTTCCCCCAACCGCCACTCAACGCTGCTCCCTGACAGTGGGACATCCACTGTCTCTATCCTGACCCCGGTCTGTCACTCTCTGCTGGTCTACTCTGACTGTGCAGCAGTGGGACAAGCTGAAGTCTCAGGCCTGGAAAACCGAGCCAGACAGGCCACGAGCTTGAGATCAGTCCAGGCTCCAGAGCAGATCATGCTTTGGCTATCCAAGTAACATTTTCGGATATGTGTTTTTGAAGCTGTGCACTGAGCCACGGGTGAGCTCCTGCTGGTAAATTCCATCTGATTCCCAGCCCGTGTCCTGTAGTGGCTATGGTCAGGGGAGGTTGTGAAGACTAAATTCTAAGCCAGGTAAAGAACTCAGTAAATGCCATTTATTACAGAGACAAATCACCCTACTACCTACATTCTCCTCACAATCTGAGATCAGAGGCTGTCCCATATTCCAGCCGATAATGTAACTCCAGAATGTTAAGGAAATGGGGGCAATCCCAGGCTGGGCCCAGTGTTA